CAAAAATCAAACTCAAATTTGTAAAGTAGTTAGAAGTCTACCTTTATCTTAGGTATAAGAGCAGGCCCGCCGTATGCAAAAGCGGTATATAGCTGAACAAGAGTCGCTCCGGCTCGTATTTTCACGTATGCATCCTCACCACTGACAGATCATATTAAGCTCAGTAATGATGAAGAAAAGAGGGTAGAAATTAAAAATGACAAATTCTAAAGTATTATTACCTGCTAATACCTCCACAGCCTATCAGAGGAATCTTTCCCTATCGAGTGACGCGAGAATTGCGTAAATGGAATTTACAACAAAATAATTAGCAAATAATGCAAATATGAAATCTAACAATTGAATATTATAAATTGAAAATGTCTGAACTTGCAAAAGAAATTAGATATGTGAAAATTCTTAGCAGTTGAGAAATATGTAAATGTTTGTAACCCATAAACTGCAAAATTTTGGAAGTTTATCTGAAGCTATCCGTTGTTAATCTGTCTACACTGAATAATATCTCCGTGATTTGTTTAAATTGATTTGCACTAGTATGGGAACAATCTGTTCAAAAAAATAATGACGAGCTGTGAAAATAGCTACCTTTGTGAGAATATACACATCTTTCAGGATATTTGTGGATAAATCGAACAGAGGCTTCCCACTCAAGCCTCCAGCTTCTTGAGAAACGGGGTTTTCACTAACAAGATCTGGTCTTTGAATCGTTGTGTTTGATATAATCTACAAGCATCAGAACATACAAAATGATTTTAAGTATGCCAAATAATCAACTAGTTTATAAACCGCTTTATATGTCTATTTCATAAAATAATTAAAACTGTTATATTCACGAGATCCATATGAGTAGCCGAGAAGCAGTCAATAGATACAATCATGGATACATTACGGTAATTCAATAAACTAAACATAGAAAAAAAAAAGTTAAAGAGACTATAATGCATCAGAAAAGACGCACCAATCCGTCCACTCGAAGTACAAGAGCAACCTACAGAATCAGAGAACAAGTATTAAGGATGTCCATGACGGAGAAAAAGCTCGTGTCAGAAAATATATATGTACATACTGCCGCAATATCTTCAAGATCTTGTTTAGACAAGTCTGGAGCAATTTTCACAAGCAAAGGAGGTGGCCCTTCCTCACCCCATTGCATTTCATCACGAGCCGCTTGAACCTTGACAAAGATAAAAGTTATAACTACATCCTCGACTTAATTAGGTACTGTATTCTTCAATATACATTAACTAATCAGTTTGACAAAGAAGTACGGTCAAAACCTTCTTAACAAGATCTTTCAATTGTTTTCTCCCCTGAAGTTGGCGCAGCCCAGGAGTATTGGGAGATGAAATATTGATAACCTACAAGGTCAGGACTAAACACTGTAAGATCAGTGCTTATAGCCACTCAACAAATGTATTGAAAAGTTGAAGTAAAGAATTTGCAATACAACAATTCAAAATTCATCCTACAGACCAGTTAAAAATTTATGTTTCATATAAAAACAATACATACAAATCCACTTTGGTGAGTTCCCAGATCTCAGAAAATATGGACATGAAACTTTGAAGGAATAAATTGGACATATACCAAGTAATCAGCATATTGGGATAATGTATGAACTCCTTGTACATAATCTGCCGCAGCATCTTCACTGGTCTTATTCTTTCCAAGGTTAACCCCCAAAATTCCAGGACCAGCTTTCCCACCATGTACAACTTCATCAACTGCGGAAGATGCAGTGCTTGACGTTTCTAACTTCCTCTTACCATGTTGTGCACCCAACCGCTTCGCAACAACAACTATTCCTTCGCTATTGAAGCCACATCTATTAATTATAGCACTGCCACATTTAAGCGTTAATGGTTTGTTCGGTAAGCTAGTTTATGCAGATTAAGGAAGAAAACAGAAATTAAACAACATTGTTTATCATATTGTCCAATACTATGAGTAGCAAACGTGCTGTAAGAGTTTTAAACATTGAAACTTGCATTCGACAAATAAAAGAAAGCTTCACATCATGAAATACAGCGTAGAATACCAAAAAAATGATCTTAATTGATAAAATGGGTTAAAACATTCGTTCATACCCTTCCTTAGGCAGTCTGAATATACGAGGCTTTGGATTACCCTCCTGCGGGACTGGAGTAACCGATCCTACCTCCACAAAGCCAAAACCTAAGCCAAGTAAGCCTTCAACAGCCTCAGCATTTTTGTCAAAGCCAGCAGAAAGACCAAGAGGATTGGAGAACCTCCTTCCCCAAACTTGTAGTTCCAAGATTGATGGGTCCGGCCTTTTCTCTATTGGGACCCATCCACGAGCTGCGGCAGAAACAGCCAATCGGTGGGCGACTTCTGGATCCAAAAATGAAAAGATTGGATTGACCAGTTTTGTTGCATTGAAAAGCCAGCCACTGCACAATTCATGATATGTGTTGTACTAGTTATTCCCACAAAATTATAGTTAAAGGGAGTATTTAAACAGTAAAATGTAACTTCAAAACATTTTGGTTCCAAGCACCTAGGCTTAATATGCAAGACTTCAATCTGTGCCCAAATAACAATGAGGATTAGTCCAACCCTAATTTTATTAACAATGTAAACAATGAAATGTTTCTATTGTCAACATTCAAATATAAAACAACAATGAAAGTCTCTCTCTTCTTCTCTTCTCCTTTTTGTTTCCTCTCTTTATCTATTTTTAAATCCGGACCTATTCCCCCCTTGTATCATCGCCAATAATATGCCCTTAAAATGCCTAATCAACCCACACAATAAATAGCTTTGCCCCACAACCGAAACAAGCCTGCTTTCCTAAAGATTATTGTTAACAGGTACCATTCACTGCCTAAATACAGATACGAATTTTCCACTCATAAGTCCTCCACAATGGAATCTGACCTTTAGCTTACTTTTGGCAATCAATTCTAGTTAAAATCCAATCTTATCAAATTATAACAAGTTTATTAGGTACACAAGTTGTCATAGGCACCCAATGTGGGTGCATTAGTTATTATTACGGTAATAGAGGCAGAAACTTTTAGAAATTTAAGTGTGATTTAGGCATTTCACATAACTAATGATTGTTTTAACAGTTTCCATAAAGAAAGCTTCTGCATAGAGACTTAAAAGGGAAAAGATAGATAATTTTCAATTCTTATCTTAAGGGAATCGACAGCAGCGTATATGACCATCTTTTCAATGATTTCTCAAATTCTTGACATTTAATTTTCTTCAAATGAAATCTTCTAAACATAGCCACCATTTTTTTACTTGCATAGCCTCCTATGAAAATGAGAATGTTTTACAAGAGGAAATATTATAAACCCCTTCTTCGGTCAGATAGGCTCATGGAGAAGACATTTATATTTTCTTTGTTTTGTTATTTTTCCTTTTTAATAGCATTCCTCTAGCTTTTTTAATTACAAAACCCTAAAAACACCAAATTTAATCATCAAAAGGCTTCTGAAACCAGATGTGCCATATGATACATAATTAGCAAGCCAAAAACAAATTATTCATTCACTATTGGGGGAATATTCAGATAAAATACAGGTCAAAATACACTTTATAAAATTCAATTTGAATACCAGAAAGTTGCTTCATCCACGGTACTGGCGTAGGCACCTACACCTATAAGTAGACCGATTGTGGCTCCTGTGAGTAACCTACCCTGCAGTGCAAGTGTAACAAAATAAACACACGGAAGAAAAGAAAAAAGCAATGCAGAACTATCATTCAAATATTTCTCTGTAACTTACCAAAAAAACTAATTGATTCTCAATCGAAAAGCAATGCACGTATAATCCAAAAGAGATCATATAAACGTTCAATCTTTTTGCACTGTTCTTAAAGGAGTAACTCAATTTGTATAGTATCATCTAAAGTCTAGCCAACAAAACTAAATTAATAGAAAATGGGACAAATTCCTACTGCAATTGCATAATAATGAAGTACCAAACATAGTAATACATGCTCGCCACCCATAACATACACATGAATTAAAGGAGCCCTTTTCCAATTTAGCGGAAGCCCGATTCTTTACGCCTAAAAAGATGATTTTTGCACAACATAGTAATAAAAAAAAAAAAAAGGGAGTAAAAGATTACCTTTTTGGAAACATGAGGAACTTTCTTGGGGATATTAGGAGGATTAATAGTCGAAGCTGTAGTGGAAAAATAATGCCTTGTAATATTATTTGATTTAAGCTTCCTAGATACAAAGCATTCGCTCATGAATTTCATAGCAACCCTTGCAGCCATTTTCTCTGACGGTAAAAAAAATCGCCTCAAAACGCCTCGCCTCACCTCACCTCACCAGACGACAATTGTGAGGGATTGTACGTATATATGGCTAAAGTTATTATGGGTAAAATAAATGAAAAAGAGAGCCGTTCAATGAAAGTTTCTGTTTCTGTTTCTGAGAGTGAGAGAGAGATAGAATTTGCAGCAAGAATAAAGGGCAAGGCGGAAAATTGAAAAAGAAAAAAAAAATGAAAAGGTAGAAGACAGGGGGGAAGATGATGACTGCGGCGTATCAGTGTACTCCCGGTCTAGGGTCCAGGGTTCCATATGTTATTATGAGATAAATTAAAGGGGCTGAGTTGTAAATTCAGATCAGGGGCTGAGGGGCTGATACCTCAGCCCTTGTCACAGGCCCTGTTTGAGCAAAATTTTCCAAATTGTAATCGAAGGCCCCTGTTTGAGCAGAATTTTCCAAATTAAAATTAAATTACTGTTTTTTAAGATAATAGATGGTGATTTTATTGAATTAATTTTGAAAAAAAATACGACATAACCACTCATAATGCCTCATCAATATGAACATCTAAAGCCTCATTGTAAGGTGAATAATGCTGCTCCACCAGACTGATTGACAGAAAAAGAGGTCACAGGGTAGAGTGGTTACAATTGATTGGGTATTATTTTCCTTTTTCGAACTAGTCAATTATGTGTTGACATTTATTCCTCATATTTTTAAATATGTCATTGAGTCTATTACTGTTGTAAAATTTTGAAAAAAAAAAAAAAAAAAAGGTCTCACAGATTAAGGTGCTTATTACTTGTGAACGTGATACTTTATTTGCTCATCATGATTTTAATAATTCAAGTGACTTTGTTGTTTAATCGCTCGTAGTGATCACAATTGATAGAAAGTGATACACCACAAATTGATATAAAAAGAATAGTTATTGAAGATAAAAAATCGTGCCTTGATATTGTCGTGTGAAAAAGGAATAAATTCTATGTATGCCATCTTGAAATGGAATAAAAAAAGGAGTGACTTACCATGCAAGATTGATTTTAAAAACATAACATGAAAATCATGCACAATCATTACAATGAAGCAATAGTAAGATTTTGGCCCATCTACTTATATTTATAAATTATAAGTTGTAAGTGATTTTTATTATCGATTGTGATATATGTACATCACAATTTATGTATACGTTTATCAATGAATGATGTGACGGGATATAATTATTGGTTTTAATGAATATCGATTTAGGACCAATAAATTGCAAGAAATTCAATATTGTGAGAAAATTCTCGATGTATTTAATATCATTCAAAGCTCCGCGCCTTTAGTCAACATTTAAACTCTCATTTAGCAAAATAAAGATAATGACTAAAATCTAAATAATGATTAACTTTAGATAATGGATAAAATCTAGATAATAAATAAAATTAAAGTCCTTATAAATTGAAATCCGAATTTATTTACTAAAGAAATATTAACTTAAAGATAATGAAAAACTCATAATTATAAATAAATGCAATAATTAAAGATAATTAAAAACTCCTAATTATAATAAAATACATAGATAAAAATGCATAAATTAAATTGAATCCAGCTATATACAATCTTCATCATTAAACCTTTTTTTTTTCTTTTTTTCTTTTTTAAATTTTAAAATTAGGTACTGAGTCTTAAAAAATATTTTAAATCTATTCTTAGTATTTGATTTTTTCCCGATGGTAATGTTATTTATATTTTATTTTTAAAATTCAAATAATAAAACTTCATATTGCAAACCATTTTACTTTTATTTGGGAGAGAAGTTCCAACTTCTTCACAATTGAGACAATGAGTTCGAGTAATAAAGATTTCCATTCGTCTTAAAAATCTCTACATATTAGTCTCCGATGTATTTCAATTTGTTCGTATAGCCCTTGTTTGAGCTCCGTTCTTTTTATAAGAATGAATTTTTGAATAGTGTATTGCTAGGAAAAGTATGGTTAAAAATAAGGAAAAATTTTGGATTTGTATGTAACATTATTTTATTAAAAAATGTATAGTTGAAATGATATCAAAACACTATTTAAAAATGTATTTTTTCTTAAAGAATGAGACTCAAACAAGACAATAATCTTTGATATTAAAACACAGAGACGGAGGCAGTGGGGTCCAACCCATATAAATTTCTAAAAAATAAAAAATAATAAAAAAGAATTTTGGCCCTAATATTAGCATTAAATCTCAACCCAAGTCCCAAGCTCAATTATTCAAATTGAATTAAAAACACTACAATTATTAATTACTCCTTTCAAGACATTCATGAAATGTGAATATTTTATTGTCAAAAAAATATTCTACTTAATGCACGTTTGATTAAAATTTACTTATAATTATTAAGTAAATTTTATTATAGATAATTTACATTGATTGGATTTAAAAGTAAATTACTTATTTTAATAGTTAGAGACACTACGTATTTTTCTAAATTACGTATGTTTTCATTCATTACTAATTCATATTTATTAAAAAAATACTTTATTTTGACCATAAAGTAGTTATTTAGATCAAAATAAATAAATTTGATATTGACAATAAAAAGAATATTTGGTAAAACTTTTTTATTTATAAAGTAATTTATATCGACAATAAAAATAATATTTGTTAAAACTTTTAGTTGTTTGGAAAGACTGATTGTCAAAGTTATTAGAAGAGTACTCATTAAATAATTTTTTAAATGTTCATGGGTGAATATGTATTTTTGCTTAATTCTATCATGATTGATTAGTTTATATTTTTTAAGGTAACTATCGATTTTCTATTTGGTAAAAAAAATACAAAAATTTAGTGGAATATCTTAATGTGAGATATCTAAACTTTTTTAATTTCATTAAGTGTCGTATACTGTTTATCATGAATGTCACAAAAATAGCCTTCGAAACTTGATTTCTTGTTGCGTCAGTTCATTTAAAATTTTTAAATTTTCAATCCATCTTAACGTTATTTTCTGACTCCGCCCCCGTTAAAGCATATACATAGTTGATATTGCAATGGCTGTAACTTATGTATTGAAATCTTAATATAAGAACAATGAAAATACCTACCACGATTTGGAAAAGTGTTTAGTTGTCCCCTGTTTGTGTGAAATTTTGAACCCTAATACATTGGATGATGCCAATATTATTGTGAAATTAATTCAACATCCTTTGAAAATTGGTAACGGGTAGTGCGGCCTTTTTTTTTTTTTTTTTTTTTTTTTCTTTTGCCGCGATTCATCTTCTAATTGAAAGTTCTAACATATGTACAAATGGATGCATTGTGTTTTATATCACGCCCCCAATATGTGTGAAACGTGACCAATATCCTTTTTTATTTTTTTATTTTTTTTGCATGTCTTATCCTCGAAATTGTGTCACTTAATAGATAATGTGATGACCAGAAATGTGGCATAACCATTGTGACATAATTATCTAATGTATATGGAAAATGTATATTTGGATGTGTCTGCAAAGAGTTGTGACCTTAAGTTGATAGGATATTGAGTTGTTAATTGTTGGTTATGACCGGAATTCAAAACGAATTCCTATTGCATGACGTAGATTGTTGGCTTAATTGGAATTTATTTGACAAAAATATTAATCAACAGAGACATGTTTGTGCTTATGTTGTTTGTCAAAGACATTTGAATTGAAAGAGAATAAACGTCTCAATTAACTTTAGGATGAATATGGTGAGAGAGAATTTTCAATCACATTATCCTTTTGTAATGTTGTAGTTTTATATCTCGTAAGTGTATAAATCATAACAAGTAATAAAGTGGCATATGAATAATGATTATTTTTCCCACAATGACTACTACTTAATCGTTGATTCAATTATTCATAGCTTCAATTTGCTTCTTTTCCTTTCACGAATTTTTATTTCTAATATAACAAAACAATTAACACGGGCGGCTAAGTGAATTTTTTAATGATGATTAAAGTGTTACGATCCACGATTCACCATAGTTATCTCTTTAATTTTAATCACCAATTTTTATAACAAATAATTATGTGTACTCAATTGAATTCTTCTAATTAATTGATTTACCTCTCTCGAATCAGATAAAACACATCCAACTAAATCAAATTATTATATCTATATGTGAATCCAAATACACATTAATTAAGTGTATTCAATCACCAAATAATTCATTTAACGACCAAGACAACCATTTATCCAAATTACAGGTTTTTATTATGTGATATAAATAAATAACTTGCATCTTAACATAATTGTTGCTCACAAATTAATTAAGAAAAATGGTACTTGTACACCCCAAGGTGTAACCTCGGGCGTACACTTTAATGTATTTGTAGCATCTTCTATTAATTAATTAGTCACGTAATTAAAAGCATTAAAAATGGAAGTAAAAACAATTTATAACATCAATTGAAAGATTAAAATTAAGGTGGCAGTGTTGGGCTTGGCATAAGGCCTGGCCTACAAGGTAAAGGCCTTGGGCCTCAACACATCATAGCATTTCTCTTTTTGAATTACCCAAATTTTAATTTAATTACTATTGTTGATTAGAGCTATGTATTCAACTGGCAACTTAAAACTTAAAGGATTTTGACTTAGATCTCTCATTCATGCATAGATGTAAAGAAAAAAAGTGGTGGTGTTTTTCTATTATATTTATTGTTTTGAGTTCATTAAGCAGTTAGAATTGTTTACTCTCTTTCTCTATAATGAGAAGATAAAAAAATTCAGCACTCTTTTGTTGGCATCACTATTATTTATTTATGTTTCTTCTATTTGTCAATTAAAATTGAAGAAATATACAAACTGAAAATGCTTTGTCACAAGTTGTAAATTACCTTCCATATTTGATTCAATGCTTGATATCCTGATAATGGGATTTCCTATGGAAAATAAATAAAAATTCAAAAAGTTATTTTGTTTAAGAATCGTTATAAATGCAAAAAAATTATCTTTAAAGGCCTCGTAATAATTAGTCATTTAGGGCCTCAAAATTCTCAGGCCCGACTCTGATTATGGGAGAAGAGAAATACAAGAAAGAATTAAAGTACATCATCGAATTTTAAGAAAAAATATGAAAATCTTGCATCAAGAATCCTTCTTCTTATCAAAACTTTGAAATCCTAACCTTTTGATTGATTTATTTTTTTCTCTCCTTTTGGGCTCTCTTCTCATAATTGATATGAATGTTATATCTCAAGATGCTCGCCTTCAATTGCTGATGAGCTGAGTATGTATAGACTTCAAAAATTAGCTGAAAATCGAGGTCAAATTGCATTCCAAGAAGAATCCTATTCAAAGTAGGAAATAGGATATTTATAGCTAGAGTCCTTAAATTTTATCTCTTATTCAATCTGGTCCCAAATTCTTCTATTATTCAGATCACATCTTTTCTTAAACGCAGTATATGTCCTTCACCTTGAAATCTTTATAATTTCTCCTCGTCTTACCAAAATCATAAAATATTGATCAAAATACAAGTTCTGAAAATTTGTAATTTAGTCACCAATCTTTTCAATTATCATATTTACCTTCCGAAACTAAATGAATTTCCTCATATTGCTCCATTACTACTTCCAATTGATTGATTGCAGCCTAGATAATCTTTAATTCTTCGAAATCAACTCCAATTAAACTTCAAATATCCCTTTTTTCATACCAAATTTTATCCAAGTTAGTATTTTTCTTACAATTAATGTAGTTTATACGAATTAAGTTGATAATCGTTTAATTCAAATCTAATTGAATAAGTATAGAAGCCCGAATAAGTAAATAAAATGCACTTATTATATAACCACCAATTTTGATCACATTCCTTATCTTATATAAATCTATTATTATCAATTTCCTTCACAACCTTTTTGTAATCCCCATGTGGAGAATCGCGCACGGATAGGAGATATCATTTTCAGACAATAAAAAATTAATATTAATCAAAACTTAAATAAAGAATATGTAATGCTCAAATAAAGAACAAGAAAAATCAAGAAACGGATCCATTCTATTGATACTTCGAAATTACAGATCAAAAGCAGTAACATTGTTAATTGATCCATATAGGAACATATGATCTTCAATCTCTGTAACAATAACTTGGTCTTTCTTGTACTTATACCAACCCAGAAGCCAAGATGCAACCACACTTGATAACTGGCTTCGTCCAAGTTCCAACCCACAAACAAGTTCTGGACGAGCTCTTTTGGTCTCTTTCGAACTAGCTCTAAGTCCACTAGATGACACACTGGAAAAGTTAGAGTTGAAAGAGAAGAGAACTATAGGCTCATAGAATAAGCAAGAGTAGTTGATTACCGAAGTCAACCCTTGTGGGATTGTAAGAACTACAATAGTTACTGCAGCAGTAATAATTCCAAGTACATCAAAATCAAATCATCAACATTCCATTGAATTTGAACTCTTTATTCCCATACATCTTCATCCGTCGTGTTCCCCATAAGTATGGACACAGCAACGACTAGGAATGCTACCTCTAAACCAACCTTTTCTGCAGATAAAGTTGGCTACTTTGATCGATTTTGAAGAGGCGACGTTTCTCAACTGAAAACAAGACTGGTTTTGAGATCGACTGATTTCAACATGATGGCTTTCATCTTATCATGCTAGATTCATCCTCTTGCAACGAATGCCCGTCTAAAAGTAATCCGTCTGCAACTACTTGATTGCCAATCTTCAAGCAAACCACATCTCCAACAACAATGTCAGATATCCATATTTGTTGGAGGCAACAATATATCGATATTGGACACTGTTGTTCGATACATAGTTTGCTTGAAGATCGGCGATCAAGTACCTGCAGACGGATTATTTTTCAAGGGGTACTCCTTGCAAGTGGATGAATCTATCAAGAAAGGAGAAAGTGAACCAGAATGCCTGATCGTTTTCTCGCACTAAAGTAACCGATGGGGGCAGCTGCTTTATAAAAAATGAACATGTTCTAGTTGGGGGAGAAATGACAAAAAGAATAGAGTTGCCATTGTTGACTCAAAAGGTAGGTAAGGTTTGTTTATCAGTAATTTTATAAAAATGGTAATAATTTTATTTAAACATGAGGGTGTAATTTTTTTCTTACTATATATTTTTCATTCAAAATAAGTTGAGTACCTA